CCTTGTTTTTAACTGTAATCCGACCGGGCACGCCTCTACCAAAAAATTTCATTATTCCAACACGACGGTGCTCCAAACCATTGTGCGTTTAAGCATTCCACTCACGTTAGGACAATAACTGAACAGTTTCGCGAAATAAATTAAGGAAGTAAAATTAACCTTGACTCTGAGCATCATACATAACTTGATTTTTTGCGTACGCCGTATTTGGAAACAGGAAACTACATCTACATATTTAGAACAAAGATAACTGGCTAGAAAAAGTGCAAGGAATTCCGTTACATCGCCGACGAGATTTTACAGTTAGCCCACGAGTGTTCTAATTACACCGCGAACTTAAGTTACTATGCTTCTATATGGTTTTCTATTTAAATAAATTTGCATTGTCTTATTGAAATGCAGGTATGCAATTTTGACGCCACCTGTAATTGGAAGGTAGTACAAATCGGGCCTGGGCGTTTTTATAGGAACACTTTTTACAGTGCACAAGCGTTAACAACCAATTAATTAAAGTGAGAATTAAAGGGCTGCGCCGTCTCACCTCGCTCTGTTGCTCACTTTTCATTTATCACCTATAAGGAATAACGTTGATCGGCCTAAACGACTTTGTCTGTTTGGGTTTGGGATAAATACACATTTTGTAGAATTTTCTCGATTTATTTTAGAATTTTTTGGAATTTTATTAGAATTTTGTAGGTATTTTGCAATTGTTTTTAGAATCTTCTTAGAATTGTATAGATTTTCTCGAGTTTTTTTAGAATTTTTAAAAAATTGTCTAGCATTTCTTTAAAATTTTCTAGAATTTGTTTAGAATTTTTTAGGTATTTTAGAATTATTTTTAGAATCTTCTTAGAATTGTTTACATTTTCTCGAGTTTTTTTAGGTATTTTAGATTTTTTTAGAATTTCCTAGAATTTTTTAGGGATTTTAGAATTCTCTAGAATTTGTTTAGAATTTTTTTGGTATTTTAGAATTGTTTTTAGAATCTGCTTAGAATTGTTTAAATTTTGTCGAGTTTTTTAGGTATTTTAGAATTTTTTTTAGGTATTTTAGAATTTTTTTAAAATTTTCTAGAATTTCTTTAGAATTTTCTAGAATTTTTTAGAATATTGTAGAATTTTTAGGTATTTTAAAATTCTCTAGAATTTGTTTAGAATGTTTTAGGTATTTTAGAATTCTTTTTAGAATCTTCTTAGAATTGTTTAGGTTTTCTCGGTTTTTTAGGTATTTTCTAATTTTGTTAAATTTTCTAGAATTTCTTTAGAATTTTCTACAATTTTTTTAGAACTCCCTAGAATCTTGTAGAATTTTTTTGGTATTTTAGAATTGTTTTTAATTTTTTAGAATTCTCTAGAATTTTTTTTAGAATTCTCTAGAATTTGTTTAGATTTTTTTAGGTATTTTAGAATTGTTTTTAGAATCTTCTTAGAATTGTTTAGATTTTCTAGAGTTTTTTAGGTATTTTAGAATTTTCTAGAATTTTTTAGGGATTTTAGAATTTTCTAGAATTTGTTTAGAATTTTGTTGGTGTTTTAGAATTGTTTTTAGAATCTGCTTAGAATTGTTTAGATTTTCTCGAGTTTTTTAAGTATTTTAGAATTTTGTTTTACATTTTCTAGAATTTCTTTAGAATTTTCTAGAATTTTTTTAGAATTTTTTAGGTATTTTAGAATTATTTTTAATTTTCTAGAATTTTTTAGAATTTTCTAGAATTTTTTGGAATTTTAAAATTCCCTAGAATTTGTTTACAATTTTTTAGGTAGGTATTTTAGAATTTTTTCTGAATCTTTTTAGAATTTCCTAGAATGTTGTTTAGAATTTTTAAAATTATACTGTACTCAAAATTTGAAGTGGTTTACCCCTCGATTTTTCACGAATTTGCATGAATTTCTGGATCGTTACGTCAATTTAATTGGGTGGTTTATTTATTTACAATTAATTAATAATGAATTTATAACAGTCCTTAAACTAATTAATTTATAACAATTAATTATTATTTATCACTCAGGCTCCGTCCTTCGATCACCTTTTCGTAAAGGATACCGCGATTGTGCTAGGTTGAGTCTTCCTATGCTGAGGATATTGCTGAGGCGTATTCCACAGCCCCCAGACCCCCCGGTGCTATGCTATCCTCAAAAACGTTTACTGTTACCACCGAGGTGACCACTGATAGATAGTTTTCGAGAAAACACAATCGAAGTTAGTGTGACCCCCCCCCCCCTTCTCATACACAGATTCCTTTGCTCAGGGTAGTCAGAGTATCAAGACCCCCCCCCCCTCCCGTTGCCATATTCTTCCTGGAAAACGTTGAATGTTACCCTGATAGGATAGTTTTCGAGAAGACATAATCGAAGTTAGCCCCCCCCCCCCCCCTCCCATTGTTTTTCTGTTTTCACTATTGCAATCGGTGTAGAAAACGCACTACTTTTCTAATTTTAAACGATCTTGTATCTCTTATAATAACAAAGTTAACAATAGTGTCTACTTAAGTTTGAAGGCCCTGTATAGCAAACAGAACCTTTATATGAAAATGTCCGAAAGAACGCGTCATATTCGCTTTCGGTCCTTGTCGCAGGCGACTAATCTTTTATGGCGCCTTGATGGCGGCTGCTGGCGCTCTGATGTCTGGAATACTCCCTACACTATAAATATATAAAAAGTTATCATTTTTTTTGTACATGGTGTATTTCAATTAGAAAACGGGTTTCGGCCCCCCCCCCCCCCCCAAAGTATGCGAATTCGCTTCGATTCACTTTTTGGAATTTTTGAAAAAAATTGTTCATATTGCCAATATTTATTTTTATTAAGATTCCAATTATGCAGGGCCCTTTTTTTGAATGTTGGAGAATTTGTTTAAATTTAAGTTACACATTTGCTCATAGTTTTCAATAGGATTGACGTTAATGTCTGAAAAGTGCCAAAAGCACCTGCGATTTTTAATTCCAATTAAGCGGCGCACTTTTTTGAATTCTCGATTTTTAAAAAAAATTAAACTCGCGATTTTTGACATGTTTTTAAATGGATTTGATCATTTTGCAAAAATTTCCATTTCAGGACTCAAGATTCCAATTAAACAGAACATTTGAATTTTTGAAAATAATTTTTTTTAATTGAAGATAAATCTTGGTTCAAATTTCCAAGTTGAGTGCTAAGTATTTTCATTCCGGAATTAAAATAGAAAGCTGGAACCTTTTTTTAATTTTTGAAAATTTTTTAAATTGAACTTGCCAAATATTTTTTTTGAAATAAAAGATACATATTTGTTCATATTGCAAGTTCCCAAACCAAAAATTTCCATTAAGCTGAATTTTTTTTTCGAATTTTTTTAAAATTTCCATCTCGGATTTGAAGGTTTTAATCTCGGATTCAATTAGGCCGGACATCTTTATGGATTTTTTTAACATCTTCCTTCCGGAACTGAAGGTTCTAATTAGACAGGAGAGTTTTTGAAAAAATTGCTCCAGATCCCAATCCCAACAGGGGACTTTTTTGAATTTTTTAAAATAACTTTTTTTAATTGAAGATATGTCTGTTCATATTGCATATAATTCCGAGTGAAGCCAGATACTTTTTTTGTTTCCTTACAGCCCAAAGGTACTGATCTCAAAAGTACGGTACTTTGAAATTTTTTGGGGGCCAATGACCACCACCATTTGATCACAAAAAAGTGGGGTCAATGTCCGCGGATGACCTTGAAAATTTATGGGACCAATGACCTCGGATGACATTGAAAATAAGGTCACAGCCCACGTGGCACGCGACTTTCACGTTGATCTACTTTCCAAGGTCACCACCTGGGGGCGAGCGACCTTGAACTGAGCCAGGTTCGGTATAGTATATCTACTCATAACTTGCACAACCAACTGGTCTCAGAATTTGCATACGCATGCCTTTAGTGATGCCAAGTAAAATTTTTGAAAATGGGCGGGGAGGGGGGGTGAACACACGTTCTATCCTTCATGGTATTCTAATGAAAGGTCTCATCGAAGTAAATTGGTTTGTACAAACTATTACCTTCTTTCTCGTGCGACTCTTTTTCAAGATCAGTGGGTGACGGGCCTGAGAGGGGGGGGGGGTATAGAAACTTATTCTTTCATGGTATTCTAATTAAAAGGTCTCAACGAAAGGAACGGTCTTCTACAAACTACTGCCCTCTTCTTAAGAGACGGGTGTGAGGGGGGGGGGGGGGGAGTGGAACTGGTTTTATCCTTCATGGTACTCTAATGAAAGGTCTCAACGAGAGGAATTAATTTCTACCAACCATAGTCCTTCTCCTCGACCCCGTGTTTCGGATTAAAAAAAAAATGCGCTTTATCTAAGTTTTTTTAGATTTGTTGGCGGAATTTTACTGTTTTTTTTAGCGAAATTCAAAAAAGATCTCAACATCGCGTAAGAGTCTATATAACTTTCTTTGAATCTTTCGTCATTATCTCCGCGAAACCGCTTCGTATCACCGAAATTAATAGTTTCATCGAATATCGTAGGTTCGATGAATGTTATCAAGTTTCTTGGAATTTCTTTGACCTTCATTGAGTGCAATTACACGGATATTGTCAACACGATTCGACCTTCTTGGATTTTCGTCGACTTTTGTTTGTTTTGGTATACTTTCTTCGAGTTGCGCTGCGTTGTTTCTAGTGCACCGAGATTATTCACGTGCAAGTAATTAATTTATATTTTGACGTTGGCCGATGACCTTTTGACACCGAACTTTTGCAGCAAAACATCAGCTGGACAGGCTTTTACAAATTCGAGGAAGTCTCGTGAACATTTAATTATCGCCCATGTTGTTCAAATTTGACCCGACCTCTCACTATCTTGAGAAGTATAACCTTTTTGCAGATAGCGTACGCTATAAGCACAACAGGAAATTCATTATACCTACCAGCGGTTCTCAAACTTTTTTGTAGACGGAACCCTTTTAAAAAAATGTTTGAGGGAACCTTATGCCTTAAAACCCTAAACTAAAAGTAAAACCAGTTATATGTGTATTGTTATTATTTTATTAATAATCATACAAAAAAAACGTACATACAGTAGGTAATCTGAGTAAGATGTTAAATAGACATTTTGATAGTTCTAGCTCATTTTTATTTCAAATGGGCCGCGGAGCACGAAATAAAATGAAGTTCACGACTGCGACGGAGAAATATTATAGTTATACTAACTAAATTACATCATTAATAATATAAGAGACTGCTGATGACACGGTGCTTGCTTGGTTGGATGCGTCCTATCCGCACTATACTGCGTGCGCATCTCCAGATGCAGTATGGGGTCTTATGGACTAAATGCCACTCTTTCTAATTTGCGTCATTCTTCGATAACGCTATCTTTGTTCCTTACCGCAATGTTGCCAAACTGACATATGGTTGAATTGAACATAATCTGACATGTCAAGTTTGTGGTTCGTTTGGCAAGCATATGTCCATAAGGATCATCCTGCATCGGGAGGTGCGAACGCGCTATAGCTGGATTTTTTGAAACGCTGCTTGCGGTTTAGCACACATTCAAAAACTCGAGACAAACCCTGCGAAACTCCTTAGGCTTCTGCAGGTGTAAGAAGTGCCCCGCACCTTCGATCGTTTGCACCTCGGCGTTCGGGAAGAACTCCAAGATTTGCCGATGATCCGTTTCCCTGAAATTTGGGTTTTGTAACGAGGCCACGTTAGCGAATCGACTTACGGAATGTACTGAGAGTCTCCTCCTCGTATGAACAGAGTGGGACCGGCGAAATTTCTGCCGGGAACAACCGGAAAGTTTATCCAGTGGCGTAGGTAATTCACGATTGCCGGCACGTCAGTTCGCCACCCAAACCTGCGAAAATTCCCATTAAGACGCCGATAAGAAGGTTTTCTTTACCCGTAGGGCCGCTGCACGAAATTGTTGAGGATCACATGACGCATACTGTTGTCCTTTTTACTGTTTCCCAGTTGTTTCGTGATGCGTTCTTGAGCTTCTTTTAAGGGCATTATTTGCGTTGGGATTTCGACGTCCATGATGAACCGTAGCAATTCCTCCATTTGTAATGTGGCCAGATTCGTACTGACCGGTGAGACGTCGACCACGATCAACCTGTCCACGAGATGGGGCTACAGGCGCTTAAGATTGTGTTGCGTTCGAGCGTTACTTACGTATTTCAGCGCGAAGTACATCCCTCCAAATCCTCCCATCGAGTGCCCCAATATGGCTGCCTTGCTCAGTTGGTGCTCGGTGAAGGAGAGCCTTATATCCTCGGCGATGCACGGATACGTGTGAGGTTCGCACCGCGGACTGTCGCCGTGATTTCGCAAATCGAAGTTGATAATCTTACGCTGAGGGTTCGCATGACGAAGGACGTCCACGCAAAAATCGTCCCAATCGTCCTTCCAACTCAACGCAGCGTGCATAACTAGTAAAGGTCTCGTGGAGCCGCTCCCGTAGGACTTGGACGCCATGCTGATTACGTCCTGGCTTTGTTCCGAGGGCCACAATTTGAGCAGGTTTCTCGCCGAAAGTAACGAAGCTAATTTTTGGACCATTTCAAAACGATTGAATCAAACTGCACCTAATCATTACATTTAACTCGCCTTTATCACGACGAGTTTAAAAAACAGATAAATTTGAATATAAAAAACAATGATAATACCTTGATAGCCTTTTTGTAACCTAACTTTTCATAATCTTTTTACGGTAATTAAAGTCTGATACAGTAATTACAGGGCGGGAGCTACCGTAGTTTAAGTACAATTAAACGTTGGATTAGATTAGATAAACCTTTTTTTGGTTGTGTGGTATGGAATGCTGTCTACGGTGTTTTAGAAGTTTTAAAAAAGGAAAAGAAACTTTATTCGGCTCAAAGGACCAATTGAGAAGCGCTCGTTTTTAACAATTCGTATAAATGCGTTACGGAGACACCGTTTACGGGTGTGTTGCGGTTGTCAAATGCCGAATGTGGTGGCTGACAAATAAAGAAGCTTGATCAATCAATCTTTGGAACGTGGCTGGCGAGTTATGTAATCCAAACGGCATCCCTCTCCGACCTGGGACAGTAAAAGCACTTAGAAGTTTAGTCTCGGTAGAAAGTGGAATTTGCCTAGATAAATATCGAGCGACGCGTAAACTGTTTAAAATAGAACTAACATAAGGTAGAGGATATGCGTCTTTCTGCGTCACGGCGTTGAATTTTCGAAAATCTACTCGCATGCTTCTTTTTGACGAGTACAATCAGACTGAACCGGGGAGTAGTCCAGCCCCCACCCCCCTCCCTCCCCGTTTCTAATACATCGCGACAAAAAGAAGGAAACGAAGGATTGTGAGAGAGAAAGAAGTAGTCACTTCTGTCTAAGTGCAACTTTCGAGTTTTTCCAGGTTTCGTACCATTCAAAATTGATCTAACCATCACCGGAGGGCAATTAATAGACCGCAGCAAAAAGAAAGGGTCGATGCATTGTCAGAGAGAAAGAAGTAATCACTTCTATCCAAGCGCCACAGAATACGGTCGATCAATCTCTGGAATGTGGCTGACGAGTTATGTAATCCAAACGGCATCTTCGTGAATTTGAATAATCTCCGGCTTGGAGCAGTAAAAGCAGTTGGAGGTTTAGCCTCGGTAGAAGGTGGAATTTGCCAATAAGCAGATCGTGTATCTAAATTAAATAAATATCAAACGTCACGTAAACTGTCTAAAATAGAACTAGTGTAAGGAAGAGGATATGCGTCTTTCTGCGTTACAGCGTTGAGTTTTTGAAACACACGCATGCTTCTTTTTGACGAGTAGAATCCAATCGGATTGGACCGGGGAGTAGTTCAGTACACGAAACAAAACGGTTTTGAGTCAGCGCCTAGAATACGGTCGTTCAATCTTTGGAACGTGGCTGGCGAGTTATGTAATCCAAACGGCATCCCCGTGAATTTGAATAAAAGCAGTTGGAGGTTTAGCCTTGGTAGAAAGTGGAATTTACCAATACGCAGATCGTGTATCTAAATTAAATAAATATCAAGCGTCACGTAAACTGTCTAAAATAGAACTGATGTAAGGAAGAGGATATGCGTCTTTCTGCGTCACAGCGAAAATCTACACGCATGCTTCGATCTGGAACTGGATCTGTGAAAATTGATCTAACCATCACTTGGGGGGGGGGGGGTTATTCCATACTCCCCGACTCCCCGGTCTAAAATAAATCGCGGCAAAAAGAAGGGAGCGAATGATTGTAAGAGAGAAAGAAGTAATCACTTCTGTCGCATTTTTTTTGTTTCGAACAATTCCAAATTGCTCTCCATCACGGGGGGGGGGGGGGATGTTTATAATAGGTCGCGGCAAAAAGAAGGGAACGAAGGATTGTAAGAGAAATATCCAGCGTCACGAAAACTGTCTACAAGAGAACTAATATAAGGAAGAGGATATGCGTCGTTCTCAGTCACAGCGCTGAGTTTTCGAAAATCTACACAGAAGCATTACGGCTTATCCTTCTTTTTGACTAGTACAACCGGCAGAACAGAAATGACTTTTGTCCTTACGTAAAGCAATACCAGCAGAGACTAACCGATTACAGCCTGATACAATATTTCCAGATGTTTCTCAAAAGTAGGTGTAGGTATCAAGGTACGCGAAATAATACGGTTCTAGGTCAGTGCCTAGAACACGATGGACCAATCCTTGAAACGTGGCTGGCGAGTGTGTAATGCAAACGGCAACCTCATGCATTGAAATAATCCCCGACCTGGGGAATGAAGAGGCAGATAAGAATATATTCAAAAAACTCGGCTTCAAATACTTATAGCACAAAAACTCAAGTTTGTCAAAATTTTGGAAATTCCATTTCAAAATAAAAAGCGCACATTTAAAAATATATGCATTTAAAAAAACTGGGAATTGTGGGTAAGTATTACAGATACAATACATTAAAAAATTCAAAATTTTTAACTAAACATTCGAGTAAAAATTCCATTTGAAAACAAAAAATAGGTAGCTACATAAGAAAAATATATTCAAAAAATTTCGGAAATAGCTTTAAAAAATTTAAAATTTCAACACATTTCAACAACAAAAAAAAAAACAAAAAAAAACATTTAAAAATCTGTTAAAAAAAGAGAAAAATCGTGGGATTCAAATATTATAGCAAATTCAGGACTTCAAAATTTCGAAAATAAAAAGTCGAAAATTTTAATTGAAGAATTCCAACTTTTGAAACCAAAAAAACGCATTTAAAAATATGTTCAAAAATGCTCAAAATTGTGGGCTTTAAATATAACAAAAGCTTAAATCTGAACTTCGGAAATTTTGGAAATAAAAAAGGCATATTAAAAATATATTCAAAAGAACTAGAAATTGTGGGCTTCAAATGTTATAGCTAAAAAAAATTAAAAATGTCAAAATTGCAAAATTTAAATTAAAAATTTGAAAACAAAAAAGGCACAATTAAAAATATATAATTTAATATTATATTATCTACAAAAAATTAAAAATTGCAAAATTTCGAAATGTTAAATTCAAAATTCCAACACTTAAAAAAAACACATTTAAAAACCTTGAAATTGTGGGCTTCAAATATAACAAAATACAAGAAATAATGAATCTAAAAATTTCGGAAATTACTTATAGCTTTAAAAAATTTAAAAATTTCAACAAAAAAACAAAAAAAGATTTAAAAATCTGTTCAAAAAAGTTAAAAATCGTGGGATTCAAATATTATAACAAATTCAGGACCTCAAAATTTAGAAAATAAAAAGTGGAAAATTTTAATTGAAAAATTCCAACTTTTGAAACCAAACAAACGCATTTAAAATCCACAATTTTGAAAAAATGCTCAAAATTGTGGATTTCAAACATAACAAAAGTTTAAATCTCAAAACTTCGGAAATTTTGAAAATGAAAAAGGCACATTAAAAATATATTCAAACGAACTAGAAATTGTGGGCTTTAAATATTATAGCTACAAAAATAAGAAATTTCGAAATTTTGAATTAAAAACCCAACAGTTGAAAATTTAAAAAAAGCACATTTAAAAATATGTAGAAAAAATTGGAATTGTGGGCTTAAATATTATAGCTAAAAAAAATTAAAAATGTCAAAATTGCAAAAATTTAAATTAAAAATTTGAAAAGAAAAAGGCGCAATTAAAAATATATTTCAATATTATATTATCTACAAAAAATTAAAAATTGCAAAATTTCGAAATGTTAAATTCAAAAATCCAACACTTAAAAAAGCACATTTAAAAACCTTGAAATTGATAACAAAATAAAAGAAATAAAGAATCTAAAAATTTCGGAAATTACTTATAGCTTTAAAAAATTTACAATTTCAACACATTTCAACAAAAAAAATATTTAAAAATCTGTTCAAAAAAGATAAAAATCGTGGGATTCAAATATTATAGCAAATTCAGGACCTCAAAATTTCGAAAATAAAGTCGAAAATTTTAATTGAAAAATTCCAACTTTTGAAACCAAAAAAACGCATTTAAAAATTTGTTCAAAAATGCTCAAAATGGTGGATTTCAAACATAACAAAAGTTTACATCTCAAAACTTCAGAAATTTTGAAAATAAAAAAAGGAACATAAATATATTCAAAAGAACTAGAAATTGTGGGCTTCAAATATTATAGCTACAAAAATAAAAAATTTCGAAATTTTGAATTAAAAACCCAACAGTTGAAAATTTAAAAAGCACATTTAAAATAACTAAAAAATGCGGCCTTCAAATAAATATAGCTACCAAAAATTAAATATATAAAAATTTTAACATTTGAAAATAAAAAATTACGTTGTGGGCTTCAATATTATAGCTAAAAATGTCAAAATTGCAAAATTGAAATTGAAAATTTGAAAACAAAAAAGGTGCAATTAAAAATACATTTCAAAAAACTTGTAAGTGTGGGATTCAATATTATATTATATACAAAAAATTAAAAATTGCAAAATTTCGAAATTTTAAATAAGAAATTCCATTTGAAAATACAAAAAGCAAATTTAAAACGATATCCAAAAAAACTACCTATCAAAAATTAAGTATATCAAAATTACAACATTGGAAATAAAAAAAGAAGCATTTAAAAATATATTTCAAAAAAATTGGAAGTGTTGGCCCCAAAGGTAATAGCTACAAAAAAATTAAAAATCTCAAAATTTTTCAATTTTGAACTAAAAATTCCAACCTTTAAAAATCACATTAAAAAATATATTTAAATAAGTCAAAAATTCGGAAATTTAAAATAAAAATTCCAATATTGGAAAAATTAAAATATACTGAAAAAAACTTGGGTAATTATAGGTTCAAAAAATTAAAACTCTCAAAACAATTAGATCAAGTAGGATTAAAATAATAAAAAAAATGAAAAGTTGAAAGTAACGGCATTTTCATGTTGGAGTAACTAAAAATATTAAATACCTTGAAGGAGGGGGTGGGGGGTGGGGCGGACGGATATATTTGTCGTGTCCATTCGAACTGAAAGATATTGTCAATCTTTTGGAGAAAAAGCAAAAATCGAGTCCACCTTTTTGGACGACCCTGTACATCATTGTAATACAAAATTAGCCTACATCCTGTGCATGCCATTTCTTTACGGCGAACCTCAAAACTTGCCATCGGTGATCAATGAAG